CGGATTGAATCCAGATCCAGTCCAATTAGTTTATATGATTAAGACATTATAATATCCAAATGTGAAAAGAATCTGGAAAAAGTGGTTCACATGAATCCTTGATTGGTGCTAAAATATAATAAGTACAATATTGCCATTTTCTTAAGGTCAACTTGGGACAAAAAAGTAATAATAAGACCACAAAGTTACATAAGAACTTTAAACTTATCATAGACAAACATTATGAGATAGAGATAGCACAAGACAAATTTCCTCGACCAGTTTAATGGATTCAACGTTGAATTATTTCACCAAATCAATAGAGATAGAGATTGGGATCCAAAGTGTATATCCTGATGGTGGTGGATGGCTGTCGCTTTGATTTCAATGGATCAAGATAATGTCGTTTAGTATGTGCAGTCTCTTAAGTTGTCAGCCCCAAACTGCACCTACGTAGAACACAATCATACGCACCCTATGACCCAGGCACAAGAAATCACATAGTCAAAAAAAAATAATATAATAATAATAAAATAACATTAAAAACAAAAAAAAAAGAAATAAATAAAGTAGTGTGGCAAAAAAAAATGTGGTGTATTTCAGTTAATTAGGCTCCACGGTGTATTGAAATGGTAGATTCTGGAACAAACTTTTCGATGGGGTGATGTCAAAACATTGAGAACTAAATTTGAAATATAAAGGCATACGTTTTTTCCTGTTTAGTTGGGGGGAATATCTAGCTGCCGAAAGACTATGCCCTAAAAAAGTTTGATTTGAGTTTATTTCAAGAAGTTAGATCTTTATGTGAAAGTCAATTATGGTTTCATTTGGCGTCTTTTTTTGCAAGGTCTTTTAGTTGTTTACAAGCTGGGAAAATTTATTTTTGGTCTATTTCTGTTTGGTTTGTAGAAGATTTAACTACTAAAATCTGGAGTATCAAAAAGATGCAAGAAGCCTATTTTTTGCTGATTTCGGGAAGTTTCAAATGAAGTTTTTTTCATCTTTTATATTTTATTCTCACGCAACAAGACATGAAAAAATGCATGGAAAGACGTGTATCTGCCAAACTAGTTTCATGTTACTCAGATCTTCATGCAAAAGCTCAATGCATCTTTTGACTATCAGAACTACCAGAAGATCTTCCCAAAAACTTGCCAAATAGCCCCGTATATATTTTTTGACTATTAGATCTTTTAGAAGATCTTTCAAAGAAGACTTACCAAAATGCACCCTGTTTTAGAAGGCAAGATTTAAATCTGCAAGAAATCTCTCCCAAACCAACACTAAATTTAGACAACCACTCTAGATATGCACATCCCTACCCACATAACACATGCCACTTCTGTACATTGTAAACATCTCCCCGTGAATGACAAGGGAGATATTCTCAATGTGCAACTGTAATTTCCCACAGATATAGATAGGGATGCAAACAGATCAGATTGGATTCGAATCAGAGCACCGATCGGATAGATCTGATAGGACTCGATTTGAATTTGAATCCTATTGGTAAGTCGGATCTTTGGATCTAATTCAATCCAATTTGTTTTCTTTAAAAATTAATAAATTATCAAAAGAAAAATAGAATATACTAATTTAAATTAAGTAAAAACAAAAAACATAAGTATTTTTTAATTATTTTCATCATACATATACACGTTTTTTATAAAAAAACAAATAAATAATATATCAACTTTACAAAAAATATATTTATAAATAAATAAATAACATATATATGTAATACATAGATATATATTTATATTTATAAAAATATAATATATTGGATTGGATTTTCTCGGATCAGATAGGAGGTGATCTGAATCCAATCCAATTTTTAATCAGATCCTATTATCCGATCTGAAGATCCGAACAGGATGATCCAAATTCGACCAAATAGGACCGAACCAATTTGCACCCCTAGATAGAGATGTACAGGAACAGCTGTCTAATGGGAAGAAGAACCGAGTCCAAATTTATTTCCTAACACAAGAGGATGCTCATGAGGCCCATAGGCCATATACCACCAAGAGCCGCCTTCAGTTCTGCTTCTGCAAATTTGATCCCACCCCATGTCGAGTAAGAATGACCATCTCAACTGCGGTCTAGTGTCAGCCAAGTCATCAGCTTCCAATTTCCTCACTAAAGCATGGACAAAAAATGAATGGGATGTAAGCGGCACTCAAATAGAAAGGAAAATACTCGTGCTGGGTCCCTAACTCCATATACATATAGTATCAGTCCATAGAAACCTTGCTTTCAATGGATATGGCACATGGAAATGGAAATCAATTACTTTAAGAAACCCACATTTCTCACCAACCAATTTGATAGTTCAGTCCCAGCTGACAGTTCCCACATTTCACACATACCAAACATTAATGAAATTTTAGGATTGATAAAATCCAGTCCCAGCTGACAGCTTATCCTCTCAGAATTCCACGCCATCTCTTATCTGTAACATATGGAATTATGGATACGTTCATAACAAGGCAAGTTTCTCTGACACGAAATCGCGATTTTTCAAAGCATGAGAATTCAGGTGGATCGACTTTTCTTTTGATACAATTATAAAAACTGGGTCCAGTGGAATTTTGTGTTTGAGGACTTGTTTCTTTTTGTGCTTGGTTTTATTTCATAATTAATCTAGTTTTATAAAATGGCTACTTAAAAACTTTTCCCAATTTTCTCTGTTCTATTTTATTTTCTACCAAACCAACCAAACATAACCTTAGAAGACGTCATGTGGCAATGTTTTTCTCTTTGTTGAATAGTCAAAAGTTCACAGCTGATTGGAAAATTCTGGCAGTTAGAGCTATCTTAATAGTCGTTATCTCTGAGGGAAAAAAATTCTTCCACTATAGACTGGTATCGGCACTACAGTGTTAAGGTTAGCCATAAATACATTTTGATATATGCTAGTGACTTTAGGGTCCAATCCAATCCAATCTGATCTAGTCCAATGTGATTACATTATAAATGGATTAGATCCAATCCAATCCAATGAATGTTTTGAATCATTGTAGACTGGTTCAATTCAATGTCTGGATCTTTTAATATGTTCAAATTCATTTTGATTTAAATTAATTTCAATGCAAATCCAGTCCATTAATACCTATATTCTTATCTTATATCAACAGACCAGATATTGGCTTAAGTCAATCCAATATAAATTTATTATGGATGGATCAGGTCCAATTCAATCTAATAAATATTTTGGGTTGAATTGATTCAGTCGAATATGTCTTGTTGGTCTGTCCAATCTGTCCAAATTGATTTTGGACTGCACGGGGTGCAATCCAAAACCGATCCATTGACACCCTTATTTAATATGACGAGAAAATGTTGGAATAGCCATAAATACAATTTCATAATTACGATTATGATAGCGGAAAGATATGATAACAGAAAATTTTTTGACCAATCAATTGTAATCATAAACATGGTAGTCAATAGATACTAATGGACCCTTATATGTAGGGGTAGACTCGAGTCAAGCTGAGCCGAATACTTGGCTACTCGAGCTAAGCTCGCGCTTAACACGTAGGAATAGTATCAGGCTCGAGCTCAATTTGAGCTAGAGACTTGAGCTCGAGCTCGGCTCAGCTCGCAAGAATAGTATCAGGCTCGAGCTCGATTCGAGCTAGAGACTTGAGCTCAAGCTCGACATAAGCCAAGTTTTTTTGAAAAGTAAAATTTATATGTATGGTTTTTTATTTTTTAGACAAAAAATTAAGAATTATAAAATTTATTTACTATTATACATGAAAAATAAAAATATTATATTTATATATAGTAAAATTATTTATTATATGTATATATTTATATGTATGTATGTATGTATATAATAAAAAATATTTATTTAATACTAGGCTTGCGAGCTTCATTGGGCTCGAACTCAGCTCAGTTAGTAAACAAACCAATATATTAGGCTCGAATTTGGCTCGAAGCTCAGTGAGCAACTCAATCCAATATAAATTTATTACGGATGGATCAGGTCCAATCCAATCCAATAAATACTTTGGACCATTGACTCTGGGCTGATCTAATTCAATATGTCTTGTTGGTCTGTCCAATCCATTCAAATTGATTTTGGTTTGGATAGGGTCCAATCTAGGGGTATCAATTGGACTATGTTTGGTCCAATCAGATCCAATCCAATGTGAGTCCATTATAAATGGACTAGGTCCAATCCAATCCAATAAATGTTTTGGACCAATTTGGACCGGTCCAATTCAATGTCTGGACTGTCAAATCTGTTCAAATTCATTGACACATATATTCTTATCTTATATCAGCGGACCAGCTTAATCCAACCCAATCCAATATAAATTTGTCATGAACGAATCAGGTCGAATCTAATCTAATAAATATTTTGGACCAGATTGATCTAATCCAATATATCTTATTAATTTGTCCAATCCGTCCAAATGTACGGGGTCCAATCCAAAACCGGTCCATTGACACCCTTACTCCAATCCAACCCCTATTAGACAGCAACGGGAAGATAAGATCCAAAGAGATATTAAAGATGGATGACAGAGGCATTCCTTTTTACTGTTAAAAAATTCAGTATTGATAAAGGCATTGTAACCGCAAAAAAGAGATAAATATTTGAGAAAGCCAAAGCTTACGTCGTCTTCATGTGATCAGAAAACCGCTACGTGTATTTCTACGTCATCGTTGGGAAACCAGAACCAGAGCAACGGTCTATCTACGCTGCCTACTGGCTTTGGAAGCTAATAGTTCTGGCATCAACCAAAACTAAACAGTGCAGCAGCAGTCGGTGACAGACCCACACATCAGACAAATCCCCCTTGTGATCGATCTTGTCCTCATCATCCCTCATTTGAATTTTCAAAAACCCACCTTAGTCTCCTTAATATAATTAAGGTGAGAATTCTCTATACCCTGTTTGTTGAATTGTTAATAAGAAAGATAATCACCTAAGTACTGTACTTGGATGGGAGTCATGGGACCTACAGTTTCTTCCATTATATAAGTGCATAGACAAATGTGAAGCAAAGTACACAACCAATCAGTAAGTGTGATGGCGTTTGGAATCAAATTACATCAGGGGTCTCTCCGCCTTCTGCTCTTGGGCCTTCTGGTTCTTGTCGACTCCTTGGCCCCTCCTATCGCACCGGCAACAGCCACACCCATTCATCATGTCTCGCCTTCACTCAACCGAAGCAGTTTCCCAACTGGTTTCATCTTTGGGACGGCATCAGCTGCTTACCAGGTATTAATCAAGTGTTTCTCTGGGTTCAAATTATCCTTCTTCTACTTCTTACATTATGTGTTTGTTTCAGTACGAAGGAGCAGCAAAAGAGGGTGGAAGAAAACCGAGCATATGGGATACATTCACCCACAAATACCCAGGTTCTCTCTCTCTCTCTTTCTCCCAGAAGGAAGAGATCTGTGTTTGTTTACTCTTCAGCTTTCTCTTTGAGTCTTTTCATTTTGGGTTTTGTTAATTGGGTTTTTTGCTTTTTACCTTGTTGCATCGTTTTGTTACATCTCTGTGTATAGATTTCAAATCAACAGAGAATTCAGAACAAGTGTCACTAGCTGGAATCATGCACAAAAAGTAGTGCAGAATGTTGCAGATAAAAAAGCTTCAAGAACATTTTTTTTTTCTTATAAGCACAGAAAATTTTATTTAATTTCAGGAAATTGCAAATCACTGTTGCAAGTTGCAACGCTGTTGGTGGAAAAGGGCGTGTTGACTTCATAGGCTGGTTGCTTCTTTTAATCTATTCTCAATTTAATGCATATCCTTTTCATAAAAAGCATCTGGACCTTGGTTTCATGGGGCAATTCGGATGAATTGATTCAGATAACCAACCTGCAGTGATTCTAAAACTGGACTGGACTGGATGATCCGACCAGTTGACCGGGAACCGATCATGGGTTTGGATCCGGTTTTGGACCTCAAAACCATCTGATCTGAACTGGAGTTTGGATCGGACGAGTCAAACCATTTACCCAGAAATTGATAGTCAAAAGACTCATAACACCCCACTTTGTTTTGTGATACTCCCCTGAACGCTTAATCCCAAGTCCCAACACTTTGCCCCCACATATTTTATCAATTAAAATTTTCAAATATTCTATTAAATATCAAGTTATGCTTATATTAATTTATAAGACCATTTTGCTCTTTTAGCTTAGGCTTTCTAAAATCCTAATTCATATGTTTCTCTCAACATTCTTTTTTTCAACAAAGCTCATCTTGAGAATGCTTTTAGAATGATTAATTCATCAATGTATGCCTAGAGAACAACCTACGCTTAAAAATGGTTATTTTTTATCATTTTGATACTTATTGTTATGTGTCCATAAAATCTCAAATGGACAATTTAATAATTTTACTTCCATTGGCAACCCCATATACCCATTAAAAGGTCAGGGGGAAAAGTGTTGGAATCTAGAAATTCAAAGGGGTCTAGAAAAACAATGTTTGGGGTGGCTAATTAAGTATTAGCACCAAGTACAGGGCAGTTATCTGCAATTTATCACCCCTTAATCATAAATTCATAATCTAATCCCTATCAAACATAACCCATTAGGTATAAGATGATCCCAATCCTTGTGAGAAAATTCAACTCAACAAAGCCTTCAAACAAAGAAGTTAGTTTTCAGAAATTTCAGAAAATGCTATTTATCATAACTAAAGTCTTGTCTTAAGCTCAAAATATTAGATCCTATCTACATATCTCAACCAATCTATGAACTTCTAGTTAGAGTAATGAATCTTTAATTTCCTTCGAACCCAAATTTCCTACATTGCAGCCGCACATCTCACAATGTAAGATGGCACAATTCGAGATAGATAGAATGTTCGAGTGGGCAGGAAATTCGATTTATTGTCCTTGGTGCTTGCTTCCAAGTTCCAAGGCCTTTACAATACATATCCATGTCCAAAGCTCAATAATGGCTATATATATTCAAAACATCATAATCTGATGATTAAAATACATGGTTTGGATAAACTTGCCATGTGGCTATAGGGCCACCATTTTAAGGGTCTTAAATTAATTAAACCCAACTTGCGATAAATATAGTTATTAATTTGTGGATATATATAATTTTGTGATGCATTGCAGAGAAGATAAAGGACCGTAGCAATGGAGACGTAGCTATCGACTCCTATCATCGTTATAAGGTAGCCGGCCACGGGCCATTGATTTTTCAAATTTTTAAGGGGTTTTCGTTTTTTTTTTCTTGTATAAAAGTAGCTTGTAGTTATTAATTATTAAGAAATGAATAAATATATTTGATGTAGGAAGATGTTGGGATAATGAAGGAAATGGGGTTGGACGCTTACAGATTCTCCTTCTCATGGTCTAGGCTGTTACCTAGTAAGATCCATCAACCTTACTCAATGATCGATTAGATTGCAAAAATATCGTTGACTTATTTGTATTTGTACCCTTTTGAAACTGAGCCTTATATTTGTATTTTGTATTCCTTCCAAATTAAGCTAAAGTCTAAAAGTAGAAGAAGATGAACAGTGAAAAAATAGAATAAGAACATGACCATCTTCATAATTTTACCTCTTACCGTAATGTTAATTTAATAGAATTGGGCTTCAATATGTACATTTTTCGAAGTTCAGATACTAAAGTGGCACACTTGAAATTCAGGCCCTAAAGTGAGACTACCCAAATATAAGATACTTATCTGCAATTTACCCTTTTTATTTTAAAATTTTATTGTCCTGACACCACAGCTGATTAATCTGCTTGACCTGATTGATTGAACTGGTGATCCATCCAAATGGAGAGGAAAACAATTGAACCTCCATAATTCCAGACCAGTTTCTAAAACATTAACTAAAAGAGTGGAAGTTAGGAGGGCCCCTGGCACAACCTTGGGTTATGGCTCATGGATCAAATCCAGTATCATTTGATTCTCAAAATGTAAATACTGGGAAAATCTATGATGTGAAAATAATATGGTATTGAAAGAGTTTTGACCAATCAAAACTCACCCATAAATTTGATAAATAACACCGGATTGATTACCACATTTATTATTCTAGTTGACTGATCAAAAGATTTTCAGATATCATATAATTTTCATATCATAGTCGAACTCATAAATATTTGATGACATGGGCTACGGCCTATGGTCCTTACCCTAAGATAGCCCAGGCTTGGATACAAAAAAAAATAGGCCGAAGCCCAGAAATTCCAAGAGCCGAGGGTAGAATGTAGAAATGATCACCTATATTGGTCTACGAGGTAGTAGATTCTAATGGCCCACCAAGAAAAAGCTTTATTTGATCAAACTCTAAGAATTGTATATAGCTCCAAAGTCTCAATCAATTGACTATTTTTAATTGGGACCGACATTATTAACGGTTTAAGAAATTTGTTTTGTATTTCCACTCACCACTACCTTTCTTTTCTTCAATTCAGACGGGAAGTTAAGCGGGGGAGTGAACAAAGAAGGACTTGAATATTACAACAACCTCATCAACGAGCTTATATCCAATGGTTCATCTCTCTTTCTCTCTCTCTCTTTCTTAGCACAGGTTAGCTGATGACTTGCTGTGGGTTAACAGGTATACAGCCCTTTGTGACACTCTTTCATTGGGATCTTCCTCAAGCCCTGGAAGATGAGTATGGCGGTTTTCTGAGTCCTCTCATCATGTAAGCAAAAAGCAGTACTGTTATATATGTTATTCACTTTTTGACTTAATGAACTCAGAACCCCACCATTACCCTGGTCTCACTTAGAAAAATTATACCCACATCGAATGAGTGGAACCAATCAATCAACCATAGTTTTCAAAGCGCCAAGATGAAGTTAGTCAATGGGGGGGTTTCTTTGTCACCTAATTGCCTAACTGGCGGATTTTTTTTTCGTAAAAAATCATTTATTCTTAAGTAATTGCTTAGGTTGGATAGCAACTAGTTACCATATTTGCCTAATAATTATCTATAATTTTCATAAGTATAAACTTATGTTAAAGTATAGGAAAGCATATTCATGAAAGGAAGAAAAAAAAAAGATAAGAAAAAGAAAAAGTAAATTAAAAACATAGTGGAGCTGAACCCTTAATTTTAGTTGTTATAGGAAAAAATGAAAGGAAAATTTGAAAAAAAAAAGAAGAAGAAAATGTATTAATTAGATAAAATTTTAAGTTCTTCCATTCTTAGCAGTTCAGGTTTTAAAATTTTCGAGAGGTCAAGACAGCATTTTACAACATATGTGTTGAGTAACCCTAACAAATAAGAGAATAATGAAAAAAAACTAATAAATAAACGCACATAATGAACATTTTAATTTAATAATATTTATTTTATAATTATACTCTCAAAAAAATAAAAATGTAAAAGTATTTCCTAACTACGTATAAACCTGCTTGGCGATAGGCAAGGCAGCCTTGTCACCTAGGTGTCACTTTGACAATTATGCAACCAATTTGATCCGAATCAACTCTGATAGGATGGATTCATCAAATTGGCCTATTACATTTTACCCAAACTGGTCCAATCTGATCAAAGTGATCCAACCTGCTGATTACTTTGATGCATATGCAGTGATGACTTTCGGGACTATGCGGAGCTTTGCTTCAGAGAATTTGGTGATAGAGTGAAGCATTGGATCACCCTAAACGAACCATGGAGCTTTTGCATGGGCGCATACGCCATGGGCATCCATGCACCTGGGCGCTGTTCTTCCTGGGTGAACCCAAACTGTACTGGTGGGAACTCTGCAACCGAGCCATACATCGTAGGACACCACCAACTTCTGGCCCATGCAGCTGCAGTCAAGGTCTACAAGGACAAATACCAGGTGAGTTACTCTTTGTTTGTCGAACCATGATCTTGTGTATGAGGATTAAAATTTTGATACGATATATCTAATACACCTGTTTAGAGGTGTTTTCGAGAATTCATTATTGATAATTATATTTGAAACTGGAATTTAACTTATCAATCAACCCTAATCCCACTGCTGTGCAGGCAACTCAAAAAGGCAAGATTGGAATTACACTAGTGTCACACTGGATGGTGCCTTTCTCAAATGACAAGGCCAATAAGGAAGCTGCAGGGAGAGCTCTGGACTTCATGTTTGGGTGGTGAGGAATTTCATCAAACACTTGATAACATCCAAAAACCATTAGCTAGGATGAACTAATTCAGCAAGAACAGAGAGCACCCATGATTTGTGAATGAATTCTCTATATATCATGTAGGTTTATGCACCCAATAACCTACGGCGACTATCCGGAGACCATGAAATCCCTCGCCGGACATCGCCTACCGAAATTCTCCAAAGAGCAATCCAAGATGATAAAGGGGTCATATGATTTCCTTGGACTAAATTACTACACTGCTAATTATGCTGCTAATCTCCTACGCATCAACAAGGTTAATGTAACCTACATGACGGATTCTCGAGCCACCCTCACAAGTAGGTCTATCAAAACACATTCAGTGTACAGGTAGTTAGTCCATGTTTCCATTTATACTGCATTCCTACTGAAGACATATAATTCACTGCATATTCTGTTGCAACAGCTGACCGCAATGGGATCCCAATTGGACCAAGGGTATGAGTTTAGCAACTTAATTAAGAAAAGATAAACCATGTTTTTCGTTGATAGAGCATGACCCAACTAATAGGTTTGAACCTGCAGGCTGGCTCAAATTGGCTCTATATATACCCACAAGGAATACAAGAGTTGTTGCTGTACACAAAGAGAAAATATAACAACCCAGTTATCTACATTACTGAGAACGGTGTGATCTTTGATCGATTCTCAACTTTTTATTGATCCAATATTAGCCATGAAATGAATACTCATTCATTCATTCATTCATTCATTCATTAATCCATTCATGTTTTTAGGAATTTCTGAGGTAAATAACAGCACATGGACATTGGAGGAAGCCCTCACGGACACTATGAGAATATACTACTACAGTCACCATCTTTCTTACCTTCAGAAAGCCATCAAGTGAGTTTTACTTGTTCTATCATTTTATAATAAATTATAAGGATGAATACATACATATTGGATAGGTTCTAATACTGTCTGTTCCAAGACCTACAGTGTTGAGAAGTTGGAAACCTGGACATAATTATTCCATACTAGTGCAACCAATGACCCCATTCTCATGAGGCAACTATATGAATTCTTTTGGATCTACTCACTATCCAAATAATAAGTCTTAGAAGCCTTGGGTCTGGGCCGTGTTTTAATGGGCTTGGGATACTAAGGTGGTTTTTGGTAGTGTGGATATTTTATGGTTCATTTGGTTTTGGAACAAGTCACACCCATTTATGTTGCATTCTTTCCATGGTGTGGTGTGTTTTGAAACCACCTGTAACGGGGATAACTTTGGTTGTTGGCCTGTTGAAAGGGTTTTTTGGGCTGTGCACGTTCACCAATTCGCGCCCATGTCTTCTTTCTGGTTAAAATAAATTAGGGGGCAATTACTAATTTACCCACTGTCATGATAACGTGGCGTTCTCAAAAACTCTCTCAACAGCATAGATTGTTAGCCCCCAACAGCCAAAAATTTTTCCCTGTTACGAGGTTTTATCACAATTCAAGGGAGAGGGGGGGATAACTTTGGCTGTTGGGGGCCAACAGCATAGGCTGTTAAGAGTGTTTTTGGGCTGGGCACGTTCACCTATTCATGCCCATGTTTTTCTTGTTGACCAAAATAAAATAGGGAGCTATTACTAATTTACCCACTCTCATGGTAACGTGGCATTCCTAAAGTCGCTTTCAACAGCATAGGCTGTTGGCCCCCAACAGCCAAAGTTTTTCTGTTCAGGGGTGTTAATAAATACATTTGTAGAACGTGGTGTGGTTCAAACCATGTGATTTTAACCTCATACAGACACTACTGAATACCCCCTTAAATTAGGTTAAATTTTGGAGATGGGGTATTTTTGTGGCCGATAGAAAAAAATAAATTAGTAAACCTACTATATATCTATGTGACCATGTGGTAAGTCTAAAAAGATTTTGAACTGGGATTCGACTATGTTGCTGGAAAGACATGATATCTGAAAAACTTGTGATCAAAATTCATGGGTGGATTTTGATTGGTCAAAGCTCTTCAAGTATCATGTATTTCTGGCATCATAGATTTCCGGTACCATGTCTGTGTGAATATTGAGATCCATTGCAGTTATCCTGCAATTCCATTCAATTATCCTGTCCAAAACTGAATGAGAGTGCAAGAGAAATGCAGAAAAAAAGTCCATAAAATCCGGAGTCATGTGTGTTATAATACAGAATATATAGTTAAATCCATCCCCACTAGTGTCTTAAACCAAACTCGAATATTCTAGCAACAGGCCACTTATGTTCCCAATGTGCGACTGTAGTGTCTTGTTAGTAGGGTGTGGGCAACAGATTCACTCTCTTAAACCATGTTCTTCTTTTAATCCATTTTGTTCTTTTTCTTGGGCTTTTGCAGAGAGGGTGTAGATGTGAAGGGCTACTTCGCATGGTCATTGTTGGACAACTTTGAATGGGCTGATGGTTACACGGTCCGGTTCGGTATCAACTATGTGGACTACAAGAATGGATTGAAGAGATATCCAAAGCACTCTGCCTTTTGGTTCAAAAAGTTCCTCCAAAAATAGAACAATCCTATCTGCAGTGGAGGGTGAGGAGTGATAGATTGGGTATGATTTAAACTTTTTGTAATTTTCACATAAAGTGGCCACCCTCAAACTCGAACCCGTGCTCTCATGCTTGTGAGCCTAAGATTTTATTATTGCACCAAGTAATAATGGCTCCTACTAATGTCCTCCAAATACACTATTCCGAGAGAAATGAGCAGACTTCTTCATGTTTTTTTAACTAGCTTAACATTTTTTTGTTCTTCAATTTTATATTTTCTTTCTTATTTTGCTATTAGGATTATTTGTTCCTAGCTTTTGCGATGCTTATATTTTCTATTTCTGTTTCAATTATCAACTAATTCTAGTGCAAATGTATTAATTAGAGTTATACTTGCTCATATTGCTTAACTAGCAAGTTAGCATGATTTTTAGGAAAACAATCTTCCGAACATTACAACCATGCACCATGCACCATGCACCATGCAATTCAATGCCTGGACTGGATTTGGTCCAGTCCTCGGTGTCATCCAATGCACCATGCACCATGCACCATGCACCATGCACCATGATTTTTAGCAACCTTACAATCCTTGGTGTCAATTGGACTGGATTTGGTCCAATCCGATCTGGTCCAGTATGGGTTCATTGGACTAGGTCCACTCCATCTTTATGAATATTTTGGATATTTTGGATTCATCCAATTCAATGCCTGGACTGTTCAATCTGTTCAAATTGGTTATAATTTAGACTAGTTTCAATCCAAACCTGGTCTATTGACATCTGTATTCTTATTTTTTATTAATGGACCAGATATTGGTTCAATCTGACTCAATCCAATATAAATTCATTATAGGGGATCATTAAAAATCTGGACTTGTCCAATTCAATGTGCCTTGTTGGTCTCATCCAATCCATCCAATTTGATTTTGATTTAGACAGGGTCCAACCCAAAACCGGTCCATTGACACCCTAATCTGGAGGAAAATGAGAACTGAGAAAAGGGTATTTCAGGACACTGACTGGGGCTCTGGTGGTGAAATTTGACCCATTAGTTGGGAGTGTAGAGGGGAACAACACATGGATGGAGTCATTGTGTTGGCCAAAGGTTAACACTACATGTTGGATTCAGGGATTGTTTGGATTCCATCTCTGCATACTGGTTCATTTTCAATGTGGTAGTGTTGAGAAAATTTGGGCTCCCCACAGAGCGCACCACACAGCCCATCCCTCCGTTAATTGGGAATATCTCTCCATGACAAGCACGAGAGAAGAGATGTTTTCTAAGGTCTGTGAGGCGCACTCTGTGGGGAGTCCATCTGAACTCCTTTTTGAAATAGAGTATTATGTTTTTCTTAAGGTCTTTTCTATGATACCTACCTGAAATGTGTCTAAGTAGAAGAAAGCAATGCCTGGTTGCTGGGCAGACTTCTGCTGAGATATTGAGGCCATTAACACCTAAGGGTGTCAATGAACCGGTTTTGGATTGAACCCCATCCAATTCAAAATCAATTTGAACGGATTGGACAGACCAATAAGATATATTGGATTGGACCAGTTCGGTCCAAAATATTTATTAGAGTGAATTGGACCTGGTCCATCCATAACAAATTTATATTGGATTGGGTTGGATTAAGCTAATATCTGGTCCATTGATATAAGATAAGAATATATGTGTCAATGGACCGGGATTGGGTTGAAACCAATCTAAATTAAAATGAATTTGAACAGATTGGATGGTCCAGATATTAAATTGGACCAGTTCAAATTGATCCAAAACATTTATTGGATTGAATTGAACCAGGTCCATTTATAATAGACTCACCTTAGACTAGATCGGATTGGACAAAATCCAGTCCAATTGATACCTCTATTAACACCAATGACTGCCAAGAATTTTTTTTCGCAAAACCATGAGGTGTTCAACCTTTTTTATTACAATTTTAAGCAAAATAATAATGTAGATGTATTACTTAAATAGAAGTATATTAAACAGGTGCCACATAAATAGTAAGTTACTAGTTTGGAGACAAACCAGGTCCTTAGGCATGGCCAAGGTTTCCTCAAGCCCAATTGAGATCTTAAAATTGAGCCCATGTCTACTTCTGGCCCTTGCCAGATAAAGACTGGGTTATGACTAAGGCCTAAGGGGCCATTGATAACAGCTGAAATAGAAGAAGTGAAAGGTTTATTTATTTGCCCTTTAGTGAATAAATAATTAAGGAGATTGTGACTTGGGGGGCCATTTTATAACGTCTGAAGTGGCTGAACTGAACGATTTATTTATTTGTCTTTTTAGTCAATAAAATTATGAAGGAAGTTGTGAGCTCCTTAAGGGTTGAAATTGAAGTTGGATTGATAATTATACTCTCCAATGACATTATATAATTATTTTATCGACTGAAAGCGAAAACAGTGAGTCATTCAGTTTAACCACTCCAACTGTTACCAAACGGCCCCTTATACAGGCCCTATTTAAGGGTTGGGGCAGAGCTATCTTTTAACTAATCAGCACAAATTGCAGTCTTATGTTTGTCGCAGGGCCTTTGTTCTAAGCCTTTGTTTGCAAAGAGGCTAAAGAGATTGAGGTGGAAAGTGATAACATGATAATTATTGACATTCTAATGGGTAGATCGGATTATCTTTGAAATTCTGTTTACGTATTAAGAATCATAGTTTTAAAAACTGACTTGGAGACCGAATCGGTCAGGGGTCTGATTACCGGGTCGAATGGTTCGAACGGTTAACCATCCAGGTCAGCGGTTTGCTGACCAAAATCAACAGTTTTAAAGGAAAATCCGGTTTTAGGAATAACCGGAATCAGCCACCTGACCAGTTCCTCGTTTTTCTGGTCCAACCATCCGGTCTGATCCGATTTTAAAAACCATGTTAAGAACTTAATGCAGAGAATGAATATTAGGTGGACCCATATCATACGAGAGGTAAATTGCTGTGCTGATCTGCTAGCTAACAAAGGAATTGATAAAAGATGCACGCTTAAAGTGATCAATGGTAATTCCCAAATTTCTAGAGATTTGGTTCATTTTATTAACGAAGATAATTTAGGTTTTCCTTAGAATTAATTAAGTTTTGTTAGACTTTTTTTTTCTTTGTTTTTCTTTTTTTTTTTGGGGGGGGGGCGCTGAGATGGTGAGAGAGAGCTATGTATACTTGGGTTATGGGGCAAGGCAGGCTAATTATTATAAATTCTTTTTATGAAAATAATTAATAAAATTTAAGGTGGTCGCTCCTCCACCTGCATTAAAGTTTGGGGTTAAAAAAATGTTTGTTGCTCATGAATCGAATCGGGTCAGACTAGATTTTCAATCAGGCTGCCCAATCTGAACACCCATTCCTGTTGGATCAAAAAGTATATCGTATCCCAATTTATGGCCTATTGGGCCCCAAAAACAGGTAAGCCAGGCCAGCTGATCGGACCCCAGTGGCCAGAGCTCCATGTGTGATGTCCTTAACCACTTGAAGGTCAAAAAAGCGGAGCCAACAAAACTGGGCATTTCAAGGATTAAGCTACCCATCATCAGGATGGGCCCTTGGGTCCATGAGGATTTGGACCAACGAGAACCAACCAAGGGAGAGATCATCATTCCAAGGGAGATTTTTGTCAACCAGGACTTAGAAGCACATGGGAGAGAAACAATAATAAGCACATGGGAGCATGAAATTTCTCTTGCCCTGTTTCTTCATTCAATGCAAATAAGGAATGCCGTTTAGCCCCTCTTATCCATGTCTCCTGATACCCATCAATTATTTAACGAAGACAATATACTTTAAACACACACATTCGAACGGGCCCCTTACTCTTTCTATCAACAACTGTGTCTCTTCCATGGTTTTTTAAGAGATTTGGTGGCTTGTGACCTTTGTGGTGTGTTTCATCGGTGAATGGAGATCCATTATCCTCTGTTTGGTTATATGCATAAAAGACCATGTTGCAAGTTGAATGGTAGAAGAGTTAGACAGACTAAAGAGGACATGGGTTGATGTAGTAAGAAATTAATGATTTAAGAGCTGATAATTTAACAATGGATATAGTATTTGATGTTGCGCAATCTGGTTGTTCCTAGATTGAGATGACTCGGATGGATTAGACGGATCTGCACAGAGAGAATTAGAGAACCCGGAGGTGCTTACCTGGCGAGGTCGCTCCGATGCTTAAGTCAGTATGTGCGAGCTGAAAGTGATCAGAAAGCAAGAGAGCTAGTAAGCAGTAATTGCGTGTACCTCTACCCCCAAAGGGTTGGGGTCTTTATATACTGGAGTCCTTGCGGGTTTTTTGGAGTGGTTCCGAGGTTCTTGTCGTGATGTGGCCTGTTACCGGATTAATAGGAGGTGACGTCGCCAGCCGATAAAGCATATCGTTGTCGTCCAAATCGGTCGGAGGAGATAAGGCCAGTTGTTACGAAGCGTGATCCCGTAAAATGTGGAATCCGGTGACCTTTGGGGTCAGCCAGTGAAGGTCAGTCAATATTACCCGAACTGATGCCCCCTGGGTCCGACCTATTACAAACGCCGAGGTGACTGGTAACTGGGGTGACCTTGATGCAATCGTGCCCCGAAGCAGATTCATTTTGAGGTGAACCTGCCCCGAGGTGGTTCGGTTATTCGAGCTCGGTCTGTTGTAGACTTGGGTACATTAAGATGAGTTGTCGTTCTGCCAGCTAGGTTGTGTCCACGTGTCCCTCTATTATTAGGTCGGGCCAAATCACCCTACATCAATTGCCCCCCACTCCTCGGGCTAGGGGTTTTGACCTGGAGTGGGGAGTTCATGACAAGCCAAGTGGATTTGGTCCAAGGACCGGGCAGCTAATTAGATAACTCGCTGATCAGACTTGTTCGGCCATCCGACTCAACCAGGAAAACGCAGGTCGCGTCTGGTTTGCGCATGGACGTCAAAAAATGCGCTAAACCGAATTTACCCTCGGGGGTTGCGCAGCCAGTTTTCCTAGGAGCCATAGGATTGCTTCAATCTCGACCGTTAGTTTTCGGACATAGAGGCTATAAATAGGAGGGCCCGCGACTCATTCCTCGCCACAAGTTCTACGATTTGAGCTCTCCCGAGATCGCGTCAGAGTCTTCCAGCTCAGCTTTCTTTTCCGCTTCCCACTTCGTTCCTTGTTTTCGGTGAGTCTCCCTTCTTCAGCTTTTTCCCTGTTTTCCACTTATGTCGAGTTCTAGCGTAGACAGACTTGTAGATAGCGTTAGCGAGGAGGGCATCGTTGTTCTTGCAGG